AATGCTCCCTGCAAAACAGCAATCGTCACTTGCCTGCGTGAGGTGCTGACTTCTTTCTGCCACGGCCTGGCATCCAAGACAGTTTGGAGGACAAACTTTTTGGCCACTGTGCAAGTCACGGGAAGCACAGCCAGCGTACCGAATTGGTCGGGGCATGTGCGGTATTTGGGCCTGAATTCTGCCGACACGCGCAAACTGCGGACAAGCGTAATGGACACAAGAAATTAGAGCATGCAAGAAAGTATTACAAGCACGCATGCAGTTGTTGGAGAACAGTTGCTTCCGAACGAGCGAGTCCCTCTCCTACCCCATCCAGGGGCGCACTTTACAAAACCATGAGCAATGACACATGGAACGCGCACACACATCTGTACGCTTCACACATTTGCACCCAGAATACTTCACGCACGCCCCCGTGCACGACCCTGCACTCAATTCTAGCCACATTCGCAGGCAAAACCGGACCCGCGCTTCAAGCGATATAGTACTCCAACAAGTGCCCGCGCTGCCCCCCGAAACCGTAGAGCTTGAACCATGGAGCGCCGCAAGAAATTCTTGCGAAGCCATGGGCGGCAATAGAACGCTTGCACCCCTGCAGGGCCCCAGTCGCATGAAATCAGGAAGAGGGGCCGTATTTGACCGAGTTTCCAAAGTTTGGTGTCCTTTGCTTCCTGGACGCCAGTTTCAGGAGCGACGACCCATTCCCACTCGGGCAGTGCAGGGCTTCTCCGCTTGGGGCACCCGGCCGTTTGGCCGGAGGCCAGGTGCACGTCGATGAGGCACACCTGGGCGCCAAGCTTAGCCTTTCGGCCCCTTTCAGAGCTATGGGGCAGGTGGACTTCAGGCGAGTGAACGCAGCCAGGCATGCCAACGCCACGCTCAAAGCACAACAAATGGCGCGTTGGGAGCTAAGCGCTCGGCAGAAATGCTGCCCAGCAGAAACCTGGGTTCGGCTTCTGACAGGCTGGCAGGTGAGCAAACAACCTGCAAATCATTGGGCGGCATGAAGAGCACGCGTCGGGCGCACCAAAACTATCATGCAGCAAAAGGGTGAAACAACGTTGAGTGCAGGTTGGTTGCGCTAAAGAACCAAAGAAATCGCTCCTTCCGTCCTGCATTTGCCTACACCTATAGATCGACCGCATCAAGCCGCATGTTCAGACCTGGCCTTGCGCACACAGCGCCCTTGTTGCCACCCATGCCGTCCAGGCCTTCTCAACATTCGGCGGGCAAGAACTGGGACAGGCCACTCGAGCGAAGCAGTTTCATGAGTACTTCCACGAACTCCTATCTTGCCAAAGACTCCATGGGGCAAGGCAGCTTCTGCAACAGTTGGGTGTGGGTCAAAAACAGGTAACCCACATGGATTCCTGGCAAATGGAAACATATGAAAACCTGCGGTCCATATCCTGGTGGCTTAATTTTGACCCATGTTTGGTGGGTGGCGCGCGGCCGCGCGCCTGTCTTTACCCTATCGAAGCGAAGCTGTCGGATGAAGCGCCTCAAGACATGTCGCACGTCGCCGAGTGCTGAGGAGAGCGACCGCGGCCAAGCAGAGCCTACGATCCTTACGCCTTTGGCCCGCAACTTGAAGCGCATTGTGAGTTGCCAAAGTCAGCTTGACTGGCACCCTATCCTACTCAACTCAACTTCATCAGCGGACTTGCAGCCGCGCTGATGCTGAAATGGAGGTGGCGTCAAGCCCTCTCGCTCATCCATGTGCGGCACCCAAGCCAGGGCTTCGCGTAAATCAGGAGGGCCTGGTGTGATTCATTTGAAGCACTCAATGTTTCTGCTAAATGCAGAAAGCTTGCAGACTGGTGCCAAGGTCCAACAAGCTTCCAAATAGGTATGCAAAGCCTGCGAGGGCTAAACACTGCTTCTCAGGCTGTGGGAAATGAAACCCACTTCTGTGATACAACAAAAAAGCGGCCTCCCAAAGACTAACCCTCCCCTCCCCCCGTATGAAGAGGGGATTCCCAAAAGTATCACGGAAGTGGGGATAAACCCAGACTGATCCCACAACCCTGTTCTTGATTGAAAAGCACCGCCGTGCCGGTTGAGCTATCTTTCAAGGCATGTCAAGGCATGCCAAGTCCCGTGCCAAGCCGACCATGCCAAAGCTGCAGACCTTCAAATAACTCTGGCCTCCTGGCACGCTGCTTCATTGCACGCCATTCATTTGGCTTAACATAGCATGATTTGCCATACCAGGTGGGTCTTGAAATCAAGGACCCCCCAAACGGATGGTTTCCCTTTAGTTTCCCTTCAAAGCCGAAAAAGGGAACCCTCAAAGCACAAGCCGGCAGCTGGCAACAGCAAAGTTGCAAAGGCATGCCGTCACGTACAAATCAAGATAGCATCTATACATATATATATATATGTTTAATATATATATATATTGAAAATTCTAATATACTTGCTGGGTGCTGCATGCTTGCCTGAATGCCCGCACAAACCCCTCTGTGCACGTGGCTCCATCTTCCTGCCCGGCGACTTCCACCGGACACCACGTTCATTCCGAAATGTCCATCGCGCACTCGCTGTCGCTACAGGCCTGGCCTCCAAGTGCCTGCCTGGGCGTCTTCATTTACAGAAACCAATGCTGTGAGTGGTAGTAACTTTTGGGGGAAAACCCTGCCCACCCTCTCTTCATTTAACCATGGCAAGGTGTCTGACTTTTTTTGGGCAGCAGGCTTGTGGCATGAGCTCTGGCTCCATAAGCATCTGCACGCAACGCACACACGCACAAACGGACATTTTTCCGGATTCCGGATCCTGAGGCACGGAATGTCACTTGAAACGCAGCCAACCTCGAGAGTCCCTATCCCTTGACTTCGAGATGGGCATAACGGCCTTCTCAGCAGTGTTCAAGCCCGGAACCCTACAGTATCTTCTCATATTCCCCACAAGCCCAAGATTGGCTTGTGGCCATCTGTGGTGTGCAGACTTCTTTGCATTAAAGTGCCCTGAAACTGGGCTCGGAGCTCAATGCGCGCCTCCAGCGCTGCTTGGCCTCCAGGTTTGAGCGGTTTGGACGGGCTTTTCAGGGGGCCTTTCCCTCGAGACATGGGTCAGCCTAGGAGAAGCTCCCGTTCCCTCGGGTGCCGCAGGCCGTGAGGTGAGAACTGGAGATGTTGAGGCGGCGGCGCTGTTCGTCGCCATTGGCATTCATGACCTCGTTTTTTTTTTTTCTCGCAGGCCGCGGGCGAAGCCGCGAAGCGTGCGTCGGAATGCAGTGCATCCCTTGTCCCAAGCACCAGCAATACGCGTGAATCAGCAAAGGTTCAGGGGCTGCCGGGTGACAAAGACTTCAAATATCTGAACAAAGTCACCCCGAAGCAAACAATCTTTGTTCATCTTGTTCCAGGTCTCAAGGCAGGGCGAGGAAGATCTTGGCCCTTGCCGCTAGAACAGGCTCGTGAAAGGTCAGAACAGGCTCCTGCAAGTCAACGAGACCCGCATCGCAAGTGATCAAGTGGTTGTCTGTGGGTAATGCCGGGGCCGCAGGGCTCAAGAGCTCACGTCGATGCGTGTGTAGATTTGTGGCATTTCAGGAAGGGGACAAATCGTGTGCTTGACGATGCCGAAAGCAGGGGAAGCTTTACGACACTTTTCTCCTATTCCTTCTGCAACCGTGGCCACGAGAAAGGAGCAACGCAATCTGACTGATTCACCCCGTGCTCTGAAATGGCACGCAGGACAAGTAACCAATCCGATCAGATCTAAGGTCGACACCATAGTGGTGGGGCTTAGGTCCACCAGCTCCTGAGTGAAGTGGCAGGTGGTCGGAAATGTGAAAAGCTGCAAGTGAGCACTTGAACGATGCAGATTCTTGCGGGATTGCACCGGGCCAGGCCACAAAAACCTGGCACCATCAGCACCATCCTAACATTCAAGCTGTTGGCCTTGTAGGGCGTGCGCCGGGCTCAAGCCTTGCACTGCGAACACGGTCCTGCACTGCGATGACCATCAAATCCGCTGGATCTTCATCTGGCCTTACTGTTGTGAGAAGTCTGCCCACCGAAGTGAGTCGGCTGACCTTCCCCTTCTTCCTTGGCTTCAATGGGATTGTTCCCAGGGCGGCTTAGAAGGACACGAGCGAAGCAACAAGACAACAGGGCATTCCACGCCAATTAATGCCTAGGGATCTTGTCTAACAAACGCCGCTCAAAACTATGACTTCAGCATCTGACCAACTCGAACAAGTCCCATGCTCACCAAACGAGATCCACGCTATTACCTTCTCGAGTGCCGGTTTGACTAGCTGTTCGAGCAGACTGCTGATAAGCAGCGGGCCAAATACCCGAAACCCACTACCCATCAATCTGCAAAACCAAAAAGTTGACTCCCCACGCTCTTGGATGCCATCGCGGGTCTCCAAAAAGAAGGGCAAAGGGAGGCGCAGGAGGCCCGGAATTCATCACAGCCTGCCTCTGCAACAAGCCACCAAGGTTGGCACATTAGCCAGGAGTGAATATCGTCCGCAGCGTTGATGGGGTTCCCGTGCAAGTTCCAAGTGCACCTGAGCTGCCAGCGATAGCACGTTGAAGGCATGTGATCGTTGGGGCCGCTTTTGAAGAGACTTCAGCGTCGCCAATCTGAAGAGCACTCGAAAAAAATGTGGCGAAGCAGTGGCCAAGGCTAGCAAGGCCCATCCCTGCGGAGGGTGCCATGCACACCGGCGAGGGCGACCGATCCGATTTACCACTTGTCCTCACTAACTGGGGGGTCCAACGTCGCCAGGATGGAACCCACGGACAAGCTGACTTGAGGCTTGGCCGAAAGGGTCTTGGAGGAGAAGCCACGTGTGTTTGCCAGGCAACACTTCAAAGTTGCGGGTCTGCCAACTTCAAAGCAGTCCATCCGATGTATTTTCAGCATGCTTGTTTTCCAGATTTGGGTAAATAATGCCAGCCAAGACATTAAAAGCATCAGCGCAGTGGTCTGAATCCCTGCATCGGCCGCTTTTCCCGTCACGTCCAGCAAATCTTTGGCTGCTAGTCTTTCTTCAGTCGGGCAACCACCCTTCTGGAAATCCAGAGTGATGCGTAGATGGCAAAGGCAAGGTACACTAGCAGCGCTATCACCAGCACACAGGTGATGACTTTATGCTGCTTGGCAAGCTGAATGGCCTCCGGCAAGGTCTCTGGCATCTTGAAGTCATCTTCTGCATCCTTTGGGCCAACCTGCTTGGAGAGGTCTTTCATCACCTCAGTGTGGCGACCCCATGGAAGGTGCGGGCCATGAGGCATTTGGGCACATTTTGGGGAACCTGGGTCTGTACGATATTTCAGCTATCCCACCAACTACAACAAGGCACTTTCCAAGACAAAAGTAGTCTTTCTACAGGGGTCTGTGCACTTCCATATTAGCTGGTGGCAGGGTACAGTAAACGTTTGCCATGACGGTCTGCAATATTGTCCATGAGAGCAAGTGGCACTCGACCGCACTGCGACCCTGGGGGAGTGAGACTGCGGTTCGAAGCCGAAAGCGAACAGGGCAACACATGCATCTCTTTGCTGCGTGTGCCGAATTCCCCATGGATCAGCCGCTTCGAAGGCCAGCGGGTTGATCATTTTTTGGGTTTCCAAATGACAATGGGTAACTTTTCCAATTTAGTGGGAAATATCATCTTCGTAGTGGTTTGCCCCTGTGGTCATCCCATGTAACCCCCAGCTGGTGCCACAAAATAACACAACAATCAAGACAGCTCTGCTTGAGCTCCCTATGGCTCTCTTTGCGACGGGAAAGCTGCAAACCAAGTGCCAGTGCCCGATGACAGCACCATTGTTTGTGTGCACGTGCTGCGGCAAATCAGCTGCATTATGCACGAACTTGGCAACACGGGGACCGAGAAGGCTACACAAAGCGTCAAGTACAAAACCAGCTGCACCCATCTGTCCTTCCATTGCTTAAATTCACGAAGTATGACTCAGCCAGGCACCTTCATCTGACCTTCAAGATGCGCCTAACGGGCAAGTGCTCTGACTCTCAGCACTCGGTTGCCTGCATTGACAATGCCAACACCGCTTGCAATTGAAACAAGCCTTGGGAAAAAGGACAGTACCTGGTAGGTTCACTGGACTTTCCTCAGTCAGGCAAAGCAGAAGATTGGAATCCTTGCATTCCTCTTCTCAGTGCGAGCTTGCCTTCGTCTCCGGGTTGTCATCCAAATAGTCGTCCCAGATTGACTCAAATCGATCGTCACAGCCAGCACCTTCTAAGGCCACCTTCCCGCTGAGATACACATTTAGCGCGTCCTTTGCGGCTGCGAGCACATCACTTGAGTCACAATCAAAACCCGGTATTAAAATGGTTGACCCAGAACCATGTAAGGAAATACGAAGGCGGCCGAAACTATTTATGGCTGGGATTGTCCCTTACTAATTATACCCGGGTTTTGATTGTGGCTCATTTGGACGGCAAACTCTACTCATGCCGGCGCCCCCTCTTCTGCAGGCACACCCGTCCCATGCTGGAAGGCATTTAGCTCGTCCCTGCAGATTTGTCTGTGTGGTGCTGATTCTGCATGTATTCGGCTGCCTTTGGGCTGTCATTGCCATCATCACAGGGGCGCTGTTTTTCATTGCGCTAATTTTGCCGTTGCTGGTTGGTCCCCCAAAAATGCTGTTGGAGCCATTCGTGAATATTCAAGACCTTTTGTGAACGTTTAAACAAAAACTGTTGATTGGAAAAAGAACAAGTTGTTGGCAAAAATCAGTTGATTGGCTTGAGCTTGGAGGCAGAAATGCTTGTTCCCAGGCTGAAGGAGCAGTTTCTGTCAAAAGGCGGACATTTCACACTTAGGGACATGCTGGTCTGCACATCGCACATCAAATCATAAAGCCAATTCAAGACTGAACAAGCCTTCGTGCATGGCACGTACCTCTAACTACATTAGAGGGCCGGGGCAAGCGCACGAAACATGGCTTGAAGGGAAAGCCTTTTTTGCGAGGGAACAAGCCTGGGAGACCAACAGGGCGCAATGACACACGGAAGCACAACACAACACAGGAAATGCAATGCAGATTCATGTGGTGAACGGTGGCCTGTTGCAGCAGTTCAATTCAGCTGGTAGACCTACAACTCCATTCCAGCCCTCGAAGCTGGCTTCTCAAACGCCTAGGGGACCAGTTGGAGCCTTTTGGTTGCTCCCTTTGTTCGTCGAAAAGCCAGCCACCTGCTGGCTTGGGATGTGCGAATACAATTATGCTGGAATAAATTCCCTGCCTGCCTGATACTCCCTTCCTGCTTGCCTGTCTGGCTGAAAATCAACCATTCTACTGCAATCTACTCCCTTCCTGCCTGCCTGCCTGCTTTTCCAGCCATGGGGGTGGGTGGAGTGAGTGCCACTCTCTTCAACCGCGTGCTGCTGTCTCCTCTTTGGTCTCGCACATGGTCAGGGCCACCTGCAGCCGCTCGCAGGCCTTGTCCCCCTGCTGCAGCGCCGCGTAGGTGCGCAGCAGCGCGGCGTTGCTGGAGCGCCGCAAGGCCTTGGTGCCCTGGTCCTTGTAGCACTCCTCGGGCAGACCGGCAGACCGGCAGACGTGCGATCGCTGCGATAGGGAATGACCCCGGATGAATGTTGACCCCTGTTTAGTAATGTGGGGGTGTCCCTGGTTATAGTGGGGATTCATCACTTTGGAGGGGAACACCCCATATTAATACAGGGGTTTATTCATCCGGGGTCAACATTAGGGAATGAGAAATGGAATGAACCTAGAGTTTCCCTAAAGAAAAACATGTGGGATGGTTTATTGCGGTCATTCCCTCATTCCCTAGTGAAAAACCAGCAAGAAGACCGGTCTGTTGCGAAAGGCGAGAAGATGGAAGGCGAAGGTGGAATGCGCGGAGGTTGTTGTGCGCGAATCACAGCTGGGCAGTCGTGGGTGGTTCAAGGCTGGCTGATGCTCTTTGTTCGGTCGCCGTGGGCACGGTCACTCAGAACGCCACCAGCGGACCTGGCTCGCCTTCCACTGCTGCAACTGTGCCACTTGTTTGAAAGGCGACTCCGGCGCAAAACCATTACCTTCGCACAACTGAATCGCCGCCCCCCACTAGCAATTCGTCCCAAACCCCAAATCTCGATCCCGATACTGAGCTGGAATGATAGCAAATACTCAATCGACACTAAAGCGGCATTCAGCCTTTAACCGATCAAAACCAGCACACCTACACAATGACACAGATTTCTGCTTTTAAATGTCCTTACTCGGAAATTGCTATTTCGATTGATTCTTGGGCCTCGCAGCGTACCCCCCCCCCAGGCGAGAATGTTTATTAGGAGCGGGGGATGCAGGTCGTCCAGTAAACTCGGTTGCTTTCTGCTCCCCTGCTAAAAGTTTAACTTTTAGTGGTTAAATGGAAAACCCATTATTTGTCAAAAAGTTAAAGTCCTAACAGCCAAGCAAAATGCGCCAAAGTAAATATGCCAATCCATGGCACCTGTCTGGTTTGTTTGAGCTCGCTTGTGCAACCTCCCCCAGCTCCTGCGCGCGCAGGAGCGCTCGCAGGGCCGCCTCCGGGTCGTTGTGTAGGAAGAGCGACCTTGCGTGCAGCTGGTGCGCGTCCCCTTGCCGTTGGCGATCTAGGAAGGGCAGTGAGAACCTCGCGAGGAAGCCGAAGGACTGCCCAGGCCGAAGGTTTCCCTGTTTCCCTGGACGGGTTGGGCTACTGGCCCGCACAACATCTAGGTCGTCTTTGAGAGGCGAATAGAAGCGTGATTTGGCAAGACGCATGAGCAAGCCATGCGTTCTTTGACATGAGCGGCTCGGGGTTTGCCACCACATTGAGAAGGCTTGAGCTGTTCTGGCTAAAGCATCTACGTCCCGAACACTCGTCCCCTCTCTCTCTCTCTATCTCATTTCCAGCCATTTCCAGCCAGAAAAGAGAAGTTGCATGGTATGCTAAGGCAAGTTGCTCAATTTGGCTCCTGAAAAAGCACTACCCAACATGTAGGACCGGCATCCGCGGGCCTCAAGAAAATCACAAGCAGTCACAGCCGACCGCTGGCCAATCCGAGCGCATGCGCCTCATGACCAGCTCGCAGGTCTCAAGGCAGCGCTTGTCGCGAGGATTCCTTGGGTCCGCGTCCCTCTGACGGCCAACGGCCAACGCACCAAGCGCAACGATCGAAGCACTCCGACAACCAAACACTGATTCAATGAACCCGGATGCTTGCTAAAAATGCCTCCCCCACTTGGTCCCAAGGAACAAGGATGGTTTCTATGTGTGGTTTCATGTCTTCCCCGACGGTGCAGCGCTGCTAAGAAACAAAATGCAAAACAACAGGGGCTCTCAAAGCCAGGATGCAAGACCCCGTAGGCCTCTGCCAAATCCAGAAGCTTGTTGGGCTCGGTGATCTTGCCAGCAGCCTTCTCTGCTGCAGCAATCCGTGCCTGCAGAAAGCCAAATTCCAGACCGGAGTGCAGCTGGAAGGCGCTGACAAGATTTGTTCATGAGGAACTGACATCAAAACCTGAAGGGAATGGTGTCAACTACTTTCCTCTCCACTTTACAGAGTAGTTGGCAGCATTTTATCCAAGGGGTCCCCCTTAACCTAGATCATGACTCTCTGCCCGATGGAAAGTGACCAGTGGCCAAAAATTGAAGCATGGCAAACGGGCAGAAGTGAAGGATGTGAAACAACATGAGACAGCTCCAGCGGTTGCTTCCCCATTCTTTTCAATCATCGTTCTTTCAAAGACCTGCCGTTTTCCCTGCGCTTCTGGAGGTTTTCTGGAAAGAAGGATCCCTGGAAAGAATGGACATGGAAGGTACCCGTAGTACAGCACGTCAAACATTTCAAATCTTATCCGTCGCTCCCAAAGACGCCTCGAGCTGTTTTCGGGTCACATCCTCCTCGCGGGACTCCGAGTTCTGTGCCAGCCAGTCATCCTTCAGCGCCTGCAGAGCGTTACATTCAGATCTGCTTGCAAAGAACAACAAGTTCCGAAAATGGGTGTCCCATTTTTCTTGGGGACCCCATGGTGTTCCTTTTCGTTTCCCTTTGAAACTGCAAACATGGGCACCCGCAAACACACACGCACACACCCTCTTGCCTCCTCCCCCCCCAAACAAATTCCGGCAATGCGCACCGGACTTGTCGACATGGCAGGGCCTGGCAGGGGAGGGCGGTTCCCTAGGGGAAGCCTCCCAAAGGCCCACCTCTATGCTTGCTCCATGCATCAGCCTTCAAGCAGCGCCACAAAGCGCCTTCAGTAATTGAAAGCCTGAGTAAGAGCGTTGTGCCCCACAAACTCTAGAACGAACCTTCATAGGGATATGCTAAACATGGTCCAATAGACGTGGTCTAGGATCATGCAAAATTCGACGATTTGCAGCATGGTTCGTCCCGCGCTGCGTCGCGCTGCGTCGGCAATGCATTGGTACTGAGTTAGCTGCACGCGTCGGGGATACGTGCTATACACTGCATTTGGATGAAAGCTGCTACGCGCTGGGCCATGTTGGATATAGACCACGTTTAGCGTTTCTTAAGTTAAAGGCTGCTGGCAGAAGGTTGAATTCTGCACCAAGTTTCTGAGGCATGAGCACGCGCCCCCCTCACCATCCAGCGCGAGACTTTGTGCTCAGCAATGGGGAAGCCATAGCTCGCTGGTTGGGGGGGGAGGGGCACGGGACAGAGTTCCGTGCAGGAGCACAACAAGTTTTCAACAGAATGACCTTTTGGAGCATGATCACTGGGGGTAAGAGGGGTTGACAGGTGCAGGAATATTGGCGAAGGCTTGCTCATGGACCGTTTTCACGCAATAACGACTATCACCTGCTCAACGAATGACAACTCTGCTAGCGCGCGTGATTCGGGGCAAGTAAAAGACAACTAAGGGTTCTGATTGATTTTGGGCCCTCAACATGGGTTGTTTTTGGCCCTTGAGGAATTGGTCGGATTTTTGCCATTGGAGGGCGCAGGGGTGTGCATTGGGGTCATGATCCTTAGGCTGGCAGTTTCTCAGAAAGGCGCACAAGGGAACCTTTGGCCCGTCCCAAAACCGGGCCTTGATGAAAGGGCTGTCTTGTGGCTCCTCGTGACCCAGCCAGGCCAGGAAGCCCGACATCAACTTCCGCGCTCTCCGGCTACTGGCCAAGCTACGGAAACATCGTTTGTTTCAACTTTTTCACCATGCTTTCCTCGGCTTGAGCTGTCAAAGTCGGGAATTGCTCTGCGAGTGCTCCTGAGACCTCTCCTGTGCGGGCCAAAAGAATCAAGATGGTTGCCAATCACTGCAGCCAGCCAGCCCTTGAGTTGGTTCGGCGCTCGCATGTTTCGGCAATGTGTGCGGCTTGTGGGCCAAATCAGTCACACCTTTGGCCTGTGTCGACTGTTTGATCTGATTCACTGAGCTTTTGGAAAGGGAATGCGGCAATTCCCCGAAGAGCCAACCTTTCCACCAGCGCAAGTCGCAAAGCCTCAGCTCCCGGCACACGGATTCGCGCCGCTGGCATTTGCCCGTGGCACGGCCTGGGGGGCGAGCAAAGCATGAAAGCCTATACGTTGAGACCTCTCAGGGCCAAGGTTCAGAAAGTGGGGAAGTGTGGTTTTCCTCAGGGAATTCGTGCATCTGTGCATCTTGTGTGTGTGTGTCTCATTGTCCCTCGCTCGCTCGCTCGCTCGCTCTCTCTCTCTCTCTCTCTCTCTCTCTCTCTCTCTCTCTCTCTTGTTTGTTAGTGTTTTAAAGTGTCAGTGTGCCCATTTTTCTGCGTGCTTTCGTGTCCATGCATCTGTGCGCCAGCACGTCTCTCCGCGTGCTTGTAATGTTGTGTCTCTGCCTTTGTGTCTCCCCACGCCTCTCCGCCTCTGCGAGTGGGGGAATTGCTTGGAACTGTTTCGTTTTTTCGGCGCACGCCTCTGCTCGCACCACCGCCCCACGTCCTGCGCTCGCAGGCGCGGGGCTCACGGCCGCACCGCACTGTGCCCCTCTAGGGGCCCCAGCTCGTCTGATGCAAAGGGCGAAGAGCTGGCTGGCCCTAAGCTGATTCATCGTGATTTTGAGGAACCATTTTGGCAGAATGGATGGAGACCTGCAGTTCCAATGAGATCATACCAGGGCAAAGGCATAAGTCGGCATAAGCACATCTTCTCAGCATGCGCCCTGAACAAAGCCTGTTCGGCTGCAAAACAAGCCAAGGCGAGCGGTGTCGGGCCATTTTTGCCGCCTCATGCACAGCAAGGTGGCTGGGTCCAGCCCAGGATTTCGAGGCCAAGTCGAATTCATTGCATCGCTCCGAGGGCCAGCAGCACATCACGATGGGAACCCTTCCGGTTCGCCTTCAGTGCCACTTGGGCGGCGGTCTGCCCCGCGGAGTTCTTTTGATCCTTCTCTGCGCCTGCTTCAAGAAGCAGGGACACCATCTGGGCATCACCTGTGGAAGCTGCGATGTGAAGAGGGTACGTGGAGCGGAGGAATCTGCGTTTCTTAGCATTTACACTGCCAAAGCCGTGCTTCGAAAGAAAGGCTTCGACCTTGCCATGCCCGGATACGGCGCCGTCTTGAATGCAGCTCGTTGCCTGGGTGGTGAAGGTCTGTGAGTCACCGCATCTCTGAGACGAAAGCTTCTCGCAAGAAGTCTCGGTCAACTCGGCATTGGTGGACTCCTCCTCAGTGGACTCGTCTTCCTCTTTCAACACCGGCACCTGGGACCTGTCCCAAAGCTGACCACCCTTCATGTCGGCCTGAATGGCTGCCAGGGCTTGCTGCCGCTCATCATTCCGACAGCTGGGCTCGGGCTCGGGAGGCTCCTCTGGCTCGGCGAGCTCTGCGCGCTCACGTGCGCGCGCCTCAATCTTGGCGCGCAACTGCTTCTCCCATTCCGCCTTCGCCAACATGCCTCAAAGGGGTGGGTGGCAATACAGTCAGCTGACAGGCTGAGCACGCCAAACAAGAGCAGGCAGCGGAAATGCGTCGCACACACACACACACACACACACACACACACACACACACACACACACACACACACACACACACACACACACACACACACACACACACACACACAAACACACGCACGCACGCACGCACGCACGCACGCACGCACGCACGCACGCACGCACGCACGCACGCACGCACGCACGCACGCACGCACGCACGCACGCACGCACGCACGCACGCACGCACGCACGCACGCACGCACGCACGCACGCACGCACGCACTCACGCACGCACGCACGCACGCACGCACGCACGCACGCACGCACGCACGCACGCACGCACGCACGCACGCACGCACGCACGCACGCACGCACGCACGCACGCACGCACGCACGCACGCACGCACGCACGCACGCACGCACGCACGCACGCACGCACGCACGCACGCACGCACGCACGCACGCACGCACGCACGCACGCACGCACGCACGCACGCACGCACGCAACCACGCACGCACGCACGCACGCACGCACGCACGCACGCACGCACGCACGCACGCACGCACGCACGCACGCACGCACGCACGCACGCACGCACGCACGCACGCACGCACGCACGCACGCACGCACGCACGCCCGCACGCACGCACGCACGCACGCACGCACGCACGCACGCACGCACGCACGCACGCACGCACGCACGCACGCACGCACGCACGCACGCACGCACGCACGCACGCACGCACGCACGCACGCACGCACGCACGCACGCACGCACGCACGCACGCACGCACGCACGCACGCACGCACGCACGCACGCACGCACGCACGCACGCACGCACGCACGCACGCACGCACGCACGCACGCACGCACGCACGCACGCACGCACGCACGCACGCACGCACGCACGCACGCACGCACGCACGCACGCACGCACGCACGCACGCACGCACGCACGCACGCACGCACGCACGCACGCACGCACGCACGCACGCACGCACGCACGCACGCACGCACGCACGCACGCACGCACGCGCACACGCACACGCACACGCACACGCACACGCACACGCACACGCACACGCACACGCACACACACGCACACACACGCACACACGGACACGCACATCCGTGACCGCAAACGACTCCTTTCTACGAACATGCAGAGCACTCGCATCATGGTCGCCAAAAGCGCTGCTTAGAATGATTCCGAACTCTACACCCCTGCTTGAATCAAATCGGAACCTTGGATTTGTATTTACGCCCAGCTGCCTCGGTCCACTTGGTTTTCTCGTTTGGCGCAAAGTGCTGCGTGCAACACCCGGCTGGAGGGGATGAGCTGGGCGTCCTGGATGTGGGCAGAGTGAGCCAGCTACTGACTATGGCGAACTACCACTCTTCTAGGGGTTGGTTCCTGTTCCATTCTTTTCAACCATCCCCTAAGGCTCTTTGGTATGTGCATTGGAAGGGTCGGGATGTGCATTGAAAGGGTCCGGCCTAAATACCCTGCTGAGGACGTTCCGGGGCTCTGGCAGTTCACAGTTCGACGCCCCGGGGGCCCAGACCCGTTTTGAGCGCACGCGACAAGGTCTGAAACCCAACTGGCCACTGGCCGCAACGACACCCGTGCGCAGAACAAAAATCCGTTTTTTCAGAAAATTGTAAAAAAGGCCAGGCGCTATGGGTGAAGGCTGGGCGGCTTGAGTCCACAGTGTTATCGCTAACGCGTTCCCTGTTGTTTCGGATGTACTTGTGGGCTGGTGATGTGTCTTCACTTGTTTGGTATTTCGCAGCTTCTTGACAGGAGTTTCGTGTTATCCCGTGTTTGCCAAAAGGTTGCTGACTTTGCTTGCTTGTGCGTGTGTCTGACAGGCCCATGAGCCCTGCAAAATTCCTTTGGTTACGCGCTATCGCTGCTATTGGCTTGCAATGGCGTAAAGTCACAGTTTGTATTTATGGCCCAGTTGAGTGCCGATTAGAACGGCACGCGTCAAGGTCTGGCGTCGGAAACACGTCGGGAAGCTAACGCTTGGGCCCTCAAAACTAGGCAAACCGAGGGCCCGCGAGGGCCCGAGCGTCGGAAAGCCGTCGGAAACGTCGGGAAGCCGTCGGAAACGAAACGTCGGGAAGCCGTCGGAAAGATCAGGAAGCCGTCGGAAACGTCGGAAAGCCATCGGAAACGTCGGGAAGCCGTCGGAAAGATCAGGGAGCCATCGGAAACGTCGGGAAGCCATCGGAAACGTCGGGAAGCCGTCGGAAACGTCAGGAAGACGTCGGGAAGCCGTCGGAAACGTCGGGAAGCCATCAGAAACGCCGGGAAGCCGCCGGAAAGCCGTCGGACAGTTTTCAGAAACCGCGGAATGCCAGCATGAGTGAGAACGCCGTCGGAAAGCAGATGTCGGAAAGCCGTCCGAGATCTGTGTTTATAGGAAACACTTGGGCTTACCGACTTGTCCGTGGCAACTGAATCTTTTGTTTGCCGGCCAGGACGGTGTGCGATTGTTATTGAATGATCGATAGTGGTTGCAGACCCGGAGCAGTCGGGGCCCTCGCTACGAGGGGTCGTGTTTCTATGGCCCCTCGCCATTCTGTCCCTGAGGGCCCGATGCAAAACGACGCCCCGAAAAGAGTTGGGATCCTTAGGGTCGTTCTTTTCAAAACCCGGCTGTTGCCCTGTTATTTTTTAGGTTTGCTAACAAGAAGGATCGGAAAGGTACCCCTAGAACTCTGGCATTTCACATCCAAGGCATTCGCAACATGCGGAGCCCCCAATGTGCAGTGCGGCAAGGCTGATGTGGAGGTGGCAGCTCGCAACACCTTCATCGGACGATTGCCCCCGTGACTTCGCAAACTCTTCGGCCTTCTATTCACAACATTTTCAGAACGACGTGACTTCCCACGCTTTGGTTCCCGGTCCTTCGCAACAACCGTGTCACTTTCCACCCGCTGCACGGGGAACTCCACCTGGCAATGCCCGATTCATCGACACAGCTCCTGCCGGAGACGGCACGTAGCTTCTGCCGTCGGCTTTTGGAGTGACAGAAGGCTCGCATCCTTTAGGAGAAAGCCCTCCTTAAAGCACATTGTGGTTGGACTCTACGAACCCACCCGTGGAGCTCATGCCCTCAACACTTCTGAAGACTTGAGAACAAGCCAAAAGGCTTCCTCAATCCTTGACATTGACTATCCTTTCCAGTGAAATCAAATGCGCGGTCTTTGTCATCTGTTTTGCAAGTTATAACCATGGGCGCTTACCGATCCCTGCTAAAAGTGCTTAACTTTCAGTGAGTACATGGAGACCTTTACGAGACCCAACCAAAGCTAAAACACCGCCAAGTACCTACTACCAGCGCTGGAAGTTTGACCAAGGACCTAAGGGCGCGCACTGACTTCCGAAACGGCGCCATCGTGAGCGGACGTAACGCAGTACCTCTGTGCGAATCCAGCCTTCACGGTGTCCAAGATAGGGTAGCACATTCCTTGGGCAGCGCTCGTCATACACGCAAGCAACAAGGTACACCAAAACATGAAAACCCTCCCAGCACTCGTATCATGGACATTCGGGGTACTCAGCCTTACCAGTTGGGCATGAACAGGCTTCAACAAAGCTCAGCTCTGCCTGGCAAGCAGTACCACCTTCGAAATCGATGCGGATTCACAGCAACGCCAGAGAATCCAATCAACTTGGGCAAGGGTCACTGGAAAGCCACAAGCAAATGAAACAACAAGTCCATGCAAAGCGATGCCACACGGAGACAAGGTTCCAAGCTGATGGCTGCATGTCTGCAAAGTGGGGGACTTGGACACGTTTTGGCCCATGCCGAATTCAAAGGGGGCGAACCCCCTTAGAACTTGAGCCCGTGACAGCTCCGGCGGCGATTTCAGTGAAGCAACGTGTCCAAAAGCCAGGCGATGACCCTGGATGCAAATCCCGCAGCGAAGCAACCTGCAAAAAGCAATGAAGCTCCAGAAGTCAGCGAACGACAATTCAGCGGCTTCATCCTGACCAAACGCATCCGTTCCGTGCATCCAGGAGCTTGATGCGTGAAGTGCCCTTTCAAGTGTGCTTGGGCTGTGAAATGTCTTCGTGACCTTCGATTGTCCTATACGAGTTCGTGTGGGATTGGGTCCTTAACTTGTTTTCATGCGACCTCCGTATGCGAAGTGTTCGCGTGGTTTGCGCGAGCCGTTCAAAAAGCAAAGGCATTCGAAGAGTATTCAGCTCTCAGGGTGTTCAGGCCGTGTCCAATGAAAGCGTGTGTTGTGGAGGCAGTGCCATTGCTTGAGCCGCGAAGGACATCCGAGGCAGCAAAAGGGTACAAGCAGATGCTGGGCTTCGGTCTTGGGCGCAGCTTGCACGCTACTTGGGTGGGTTTTGTCGTGTCAGTTACACCCGAAGACTTGAGATTTAGGACGGCCAATCTGATCTGGGGCCACCACGAGATGCGGGCCAAACCTGGCCAATCGCAAGGAGACATAGATCGCAAGCACTTGCCGCCGGGCCGTCCGCAGACTCATCAACACAAAGCAGCCGTCCAGGCCACTCCAAGAAATATCTCATATTTTCCACCAGCACAGCCACAGAGAATGGCCTGTCTGCAGACAGCACACCCATGACATGTTGGATGGCGCCTGGCTGTCCACTGCCGCCTTCACCTGCGAGCCAATGGCTTGCTTGCGGGGATATTTTTCGGCTACGCATGGCGCATGGGTCGTCTTATCCATGTTTCCCGCTCTCCCCAAAAACCTCATGCACTTGGCACGCCAGTCTGTTTTTGACTCCTGGCATGCTGGCCTGACCAGCATGCACCCGGGCTGCACCGGCAGCTTTCTTGAAGGCAGCGCCGGCCGACCTTGCAATAAACAGCACTATCCACCGATACATCCAGGCTGGCCGAAGCAAATGTCGATGCCCTCCGACCGGTCCTTCTCACGGCTGTGTTCCTCTCCGTCTGCTTGACCCGATCCGAGCGGGGCCCCAAAGAAGGCTTCCCGCTGCAAAATCCAAATCCGAGATCACTTTGCTCCTCAAAATGCCTTCCACCTCTCAACGTTGGTCATCCAAAACGGCGCTTCACGGGTTCGAGTTTGAGCCAAGGCTCTCCCCCGCAGCACTGGCCCAGGCAACAGCGCTGGTGAAGTCATCAGAGGGCGGAACAGAACCTACGCTGCTGGTTTCTGTGGGCGCTCACGCAGATTCAGAAACCACCGCAATGCAAGGGGCAAGAACCAACATGGAGGAACAATACTATCACTTCCAACTCTCTCTCTAGCTCTCTCTTTCTCTTTCTCTCTTTCTCTCTTTCTCTCTTTCTCTCTTTCTCTCTTTCTCTCTCTCACTGCTCAGTGCTCAGGTTGCCCGTAAGGATGGAGGGCTGGGCCCGAGTGGCAGCCAACACAAGGGGAGCAGCGCTGTCCAATTTTACAAATACTCAACACCATCTGATGGCACCGGCCTGCCTCTGGCGCGCGCCATGACATGCCGTGCTGGCAGCCGGCTTCAGCTTTGCAGTCAGCAAATCTGATTACGATGCCAATGTGCTGCGGGGTCACGGTGCTTGCATGTGCTTGCTACGTTTGCTACTGGGAAGGCACACCTTCAACTGGCGCGGTCTCAGGGCCGGGCCCAGTTCTGGGGATGGCGAATGCCAGCGCCAAAGAGTTGTGGCAGGAGGTTGCTGAGTGCAGTGCAGCAGGCTGCAGTTTGGGGCCACATTGCTCTTGCAAAATGGCTACAGCACGCCTCGAAGCGGACCTTCCATGTTCCCCCCTTCCGCCTAGAAAAAGGTTTCAATGGCTTCCTCTGATCAATGAACACCCCCTCAAGGTCGACGACGCCCTGGGTATTTTTCCACGGCTGGACAGGGCCTGGATTAGTCAGGGTTTGTATTATTTGGGTAGGCTACCCTTGTGAGCTTGTCACACCTTGGCTTGTTCACAAACTGTTAGTAAGAAATGTTCTGTTTCTGGCTAGTTCACTGTTCGTAATGGAATGGAACTATGGGAGAAACTAGTGGCAAATTCGCAAAGGTATTGGCAACTAGACAATGTAAAATCGATTTGGGTTGTCTGGTGTCTTGTTGTTCAAAAAGGGGGCCTTGACGGGAAACAAGCTGCCACCGATACGGAATCGTCGCTCACCTTTTTTCGCGCTCCAAGCGTGCCTCGCTTTGCGGGGCATCCTCTGCAACGCGGGCGTTACGATGCCTCGTCATCACCTGGGGGATCTTTGAAGAGTAGATCCCTTGCGCCCGTTCAGTTTCTCAGTTAAGTCACTGAAGCAGCCCAGACCTCTGTCGTCCTTTTCCCTTGTCCCAGTTTGTGACCGCTGATGCTTACGTGGCAACCTGGCCTTCCAGACATCTTGGCAATGGGACAGGCACTTCAGCTCTTGACGCCAGGCTGCCGGACTCCCTGCTGCTGAAATAGCAGCTTGGTGTAAGCAGGGCCTCGGGAAACCCGAGCTGCAGCGAAAGGTCTTGACAGATACATTTGTCCAAAGCGTCTCAAGCGCGGCTGGGTTCAATGTTGCCTGAGTCCAATCTGAGCCTGCCGCCCAGATATGGGATATTCCACATATCCACCAGGGACTGCCACCTGCAGGGAGGCAAGCTGGCGTCCGTTTTGTCTGCATCATGCCTCCGGGCAAGTGAAACGCTTTCACAGTGCACAGGCCATCGCTGAGCTCTTGGCGACTCAAAGGATTGCAAGTGAGGCACATCTCGCGAAGAAAGATTGCGCAAGCCTCAGTACGGGCCGCTGACCCTACCTACCACCTGCAGTTCCTTGTTTCTCATTCATATACATATATATATATATATTCTTCTTGAACACTTCACGACCGCAGTTCTGATGCTTTACTTTATTGACGGCCACTTCAAAGTCACCACTGCGTCCGGACTCATGCGGAAGCCGGCCACTCGATGAAGACTCACCAACTTTGCTGCATCCACCTATAAGCCAGCATTGTTTAAACCTCGGTCAGAACTCCCTGTGTCCCGCCTTCAAGCATCGCCCCTACAAAGGAAAACTCACTTTACATTGACCCACACGGTAAACCTCATTGCTAGAGGGATACATAGGGACCCTGTGCAGGGTCTATCCGTTCATTGGCTTCGCTCAGCTGAGGCCTCGTACTGTCTTCAACATGCTGCAGCAACCTCTCTCGGAACTTCTTCTCCTTGGTCCAACGAAACTGCATTGAAGGCTCTGAGGGCGGGCTTCGAGTTCATGGAAGGCTGGTTAAGCTCGGCTAAGTCTTGGTTTATGTTTTGTGAGAGTTCATGAGATGATGCTAAGGAAAGACATGCGCAGCACCATCCGTCCTTCTCAAGATCCACCACATTCATAAGCATCGTTCTCGCTGTGCAAGCCACATTGACATGGAACCGACTGACCATCTCCGGCAGAAAAAGGGGGCCTAGCCATCTGGGAAGACAGGAATCAAGGAACATCCAAAGCTGGACATCCAGCGACACCCCGCCCGCAAAGCAGCAAGACAACATGAAAGACCAAGCAGGGTCACGTTGACCTTGCCTCGCCTGAAATTCTCATCACGTTTGGCACACTCGGCTAGGGCTTCTGCAAATGCCTCTCGGTTTGGGCATGCCCGCGTGAGCGCAACGTTGGCCACGTCGAACCAGAACATACCAACCTTGGCTTCAATCATGCTTGACATGCAGCGATGCGCTGTGCACCCTTGGCTGTGGTGCCTTGTCTTGATGCGAGCTACGCGTTTCCTCATGCCGCTCGCAGTTGCTGCTGGGCAAAGTTATTCTGCACGCAAGAACTCGAAGCAATACATGCGCACTGTCGTCACAAACACATTAGCAATAGGGTTTAATATGCCTTCATAAATGGCTCTGCCAAGCTTAGTGCCAACATGCCCCAGGCTGCCCCACGTCACCCTCCAGCTCGAGCTCCTGTGCAAACATGCGGATGGCCACCCGTGACTGTGTTTTTTACACAGCAAGCAAACCGGGATTCACCTTGAACTAAAAACAATCACCATCGCTCTCACCCTCACCCTCACCCTCATCATCACCCTCAACATCACCCTTGCCATATCTCGCCATCACCATCACCACCACCAGCAGCACCAGCAGCACCAGCACCACATCATCATCCTCGTCCCCATTCTCATTCTCATCATCGGCATCATCATCATCATCATCATCATCATCATCATCATCATCATCATCATCATCATCATCATCAACCTATGTTGCACCAAAATCCGTCACGCACATATTCCAGCTCCCACGCCCCAAACGAATGCTCAGCTCGCAACAGGATGCCGGCTGTGTCTGCTTTCTCCCCCACCTTCGTGAAGTGAGCCAATGCCCTCTGCATGAAGTCTGCGGACCTCGGGTGGCCAAACGAACAGCTGGAAGAAACCGGTGGACACAACCTCCAATACCCGTTTATCAGCCTATACTTCCAGGGTCAAAGCGTGGACGGCCACAAGCTGACAAAGCAACGCTCCACGCCGGTCATACCTGCGCCGAAAATGGCTGCGGTCCATGCTGAACTCGACATGAATCGACATGACCTGGATCGCACCAAGCTGCACTAGCTGTTTCTGCTCTGTGGCAAGTCCTTTGAAACGGCATGCAAATCCTTAAAAAATGTTCCAAGTGCCTTGGCTTGGCTGCCAATCTGTGACTAGTGAACAAGAGTTTGCATATGCATAAGTAACACAAATAATTACCCTGCCTGCTGTGAACAAGCCAGAGGACAAACGCTCCTAGTCAAAGCTTTGGTCGACCTTCTGCAATGTGCATGACAGCAACCAATCGAGGTCACAAAATTAGCTTCAATTTGCTGAGGGAGGGTTGTCGTCAACAAATGTCGCCAAACATGTTCAACATGCCTTAACCAAACGAGATGCGCTCAATGCGAAAGCCAGATGGCTCGCTCCAAGTAGGGAACATGGGAGACATGCTCCCTATTTGTTTGTAGCTTGGTTCCAGTTCCAGCCTTCCATATCCGAAACAAAAGGGGCTGGTGCGAACCCAGGCCCCGGCAGCTCGGCACACAGGGCCTAGGCCAGTTGCACGGTGCCCGCTTCACACAATCGCTCCGTGAGGGGGGCAAGTCAAGTATACTCCTGCAAGAGCAGGAGGATGTTCAAACATGTGGCCTGATATCAATCTGTCTTTTTCCCTGCTGCGGTATGCGAGGCCAAGCGGCATCAAACGACCAGGTCAGGATGGACAAATCGAAGGCGGTGCACTCTGACATCTTCCCCATGGCTTGCTCCTGCAGAGCTGGAAAAGACTCACAAAGGAAGGACAAAGTGGGTGTGAGGCTTTCTCTGGCTTTAGATCAATGCGGCAGGCCCGTCTTGACTTCTGGTGTGGGGCACTCCCTATCGCTGGAATTGGCCTCAAACTTTCTTTACGCTGTCCGGTGAGGCATGCAAGGCGCTTGAGTGGCGCAGCACCTTCCCTGCGCAGGGTGACTAAGACCGTAGAGGAAACATGCAAGCATCTCAAGGGATGCTAATAGCAACTTTGCTCAAACAAACTGTAAGATCAAACCAAGATGCCATGATGGCCAGAACGCCTGGGCCAAGCCTAATAGTAGGGCCCAAACAAGGAATCAAAGCGCCTGGAGACGGTCATTTACTAAATTGCCCCGAAGTTATAGCCAGAACAGCCATGTACAAAGCCCAGTGCTACTGTCTGAACCTTGACGCATGCATCAGGACTGTGCCCGAGCCCGACCCGACCCGGCCAAGCTTCCTGGGTTGCGTGCAAAAACGCCTGGTCAACCAAGCCCACCTTTGCAAATGCCCAGCTCGTATTCCTGGCAACTGGAGGCAACTCTTGCGGCCATACCACCTGACAGTGATCTGAAAGATTGCGCTTTGGCTGTATTTCCACCAAGGGTAACGCCTTTGCATGTCTCATTGCCTTACTTATGCTTTCAGTCCCTTCCCCTCCTTGCATCCCTTTTCCTTGTAAACAATCATGCTTTCAATGCAACGCATGTTGCCAAATGACAAAACCCTGTGCAGTGCAGCCACCGGTCACTCAAGACTCCAAGCCGGCGCTGCGCCAGGTTCTGCACCGTAAGCTTGGGCAGTCTGGCGGTGCCGGCAGTGGCCGCGAACAGAGCGAGGCCTTGCAGTGACAGAGTGCCGCGCCCGGCCGGAACAAACTTCAACCTCCATTTGCTTAAGCCCCCGGGAAAAACAAAAACATATCTCTAATAGTGATAGATTCACTTTAAAAACAGAAAGAAAATGACAAACATATTATTAAGCAAATGGAAGTCAATCAAGTTGTTTTCTCAAGAAGGGACCTGGCTGAAGGTGTTGCATGTGCTGGCAACCTGCTGCAATCAAGTGGGATTCTGCTTCGAGCGTTGGCCATTCGGCGTGAAGCTGCCAACTGCAGTGCATATGGAGACGAGGCGAGAGTTTGTCACAGCTCATGGAGCATGAAGAGACCCTGATGAGCAGTTGGAGCCCAGTTGTTCACCATGAGGCCTTCAAATATTCACGGACAAGACTGCTGTCTCTTGCCGTCAGCAACAGCTGGGCTGAGTTCCCCCCAATTGCCACTCTAAACAAAAACTAAAGGGTGAGTGGAACAGCAGTTGGCGGCCGCAGCTTGCCCGAGCTCGCAATCATGCAGACATTCACTCAGACCCATGTGGTTCGGTGCCCAAGTGGTGAGCAAAGTGGTTCGGGCCACTCGTCAAGCGTATGCACGTTAAACACAGCAACTTCAAGTCACCATGAAAGCCTTGCAAGCCTTGGCTTCGGAAACGGACGCCCAGAAAAGCAAACGTACACGCAAGCACACTCACAAAGACACACACACAAACACAAATGACACACACAGAGACTCAAACACCAGCAGGCAAGGGAACTAACCAAGCAAACAATCTGACGTACAAATGGACGGATGGACGAACAAGCCAGAAAGGAAGCAAACAAGCAGGCAGCCATGCAAGCAAAGCAAGCCAGCATGCAAGCAAGTCAAGCAAGCAAGTCAAGTCAAGCAAGTCAAGCAAGCAGCCGAGAAAGCAACCAGTCATGCAAGCAGGCAGGCAAGCGAGCAGGCTGCAAGAATGCAAGCAACGCAAGAAAGCAAGCAAGCAACGCAAGAAAGCAAGCAAGCAAGCAAGCAAGCAAGCAAGCAAGCAAGCAAGCAAGCAAGCAAGCAAGCAAGCAAGCAAGCAAGCAAGCAAGCAAGCAAGCAGGCAGGCAAGCAAGAAATCAGGCATGCAAACATGCAAGCAGGCAAGAAATCAGGCATGCAAACATGCAAGCAAGAAAGCAAGCAAGGAAGCAGGCAGGCAAGCAGGCAAGCAGGCAAGCAGGCAAGCAGGCAAGCAGGCAAGCAGGCAAGCAGGCAAGCAGGCAAGCAGGCAAGCAGGCAAGCAGGCAAGCAGGCAAGCAGGCAAGCAGGCAAGCAGGCAAGCAGGCAAGCAAGCAAGCAAGCAAGCAAGCAAGCAAGCAAGCAAGCAAGCAAGCAAGCAAGCAAGCAAGCAAGCAAGCAAGCAAGCAAGCAACCAGGCATGCAAGCACAATACGAACAAGCAGGCAAGAAAGCAACCAGGCATGCAAGCAAGCAAGCAAGCAAGCAAGCAAGCAAGCAAGCAAGCAGGCTAGGCACGCACACGAGCAAGCAAGCAAGCAAGCAAGCAAGCAAGCAAGCAAGCAAGCAAGCAAGCAAGCAAGCAAGCAGGCAGGCAGGCAGGCAGGCAGGCAGGCAGGCAGGCAGGCAGGCAGGCAGGCAGGCAGGCAGGCAGGCAGGCAGGCAGGCAGGCAGGCAGGCAGGCAGGCAGGCAGGCAGGCAGGCAGGCAGTGGGCAAGACAAGGCAAGCGAGCAAGCACGATGCAAGCAAGAAAGCACAACACAAATTGGGAAGCAACGCTCCTTGCGGCGCAATGAGGCCCTTCCATGAATCAACCCTGCAGGTTGGATCTCACAGGGTCTGGGGCCCAGCACTTTCCAGCTCCAACTTCGCATGCGCCCAGGCCAGGTTGGATAGCCTCAAGGGTGCTAGGACTTCACCCTCCCAAGTGCTGGTGTACCCGAACGTGTCTTCAATAATTGTGGCCCACTCGAAACTTGTACAAAAAAAGCATGCAAAGCATCTTGAAGATCCGAGGACAACATCTTTTCAGAGATCACGGACCTTTCGACTCTTTTCTCTGTGGCCAGTCGCATGTCTGTTGGGTCTGAGCGCAGCCTCGCATTCCCTTGGTGGAGCATTGCTGGCTTTGCAGCTCGCGGCACACACCCTCGATGTCAATTGCACGGCCTCATGGGGTGTGCCGCTCTTCAGCCCGGGCTCGGACAGGCAGGGCAGGGCCCAGATTGTGAGAGCAACACGGTTGGGCCCGCCTCCCATGGCCCGGAGGCTTTAAACTCAGAGGCGCGGCGAGCAGGGGGCTGGCAGCGGGGTATCCATCTCATCAGCCATTGGAAGTGGCATTGGGTACAACCCGACAACTGATTGTCTTTCTGCATAGTTTCACCAAAGCTAGGCAGCTAGGCTCCCACTTGATTCACGGTGGATGCTGCCAAACCCCATGCGCGTGCTCACATGGGTAAGATCACTTGTGGCGCCTTCTTGAAAAGCTCCGGGGTTCCAACGGAACACGAACGACTCGGCCTCAAATGGGGTCAGCAGCGGTCTGTTGCCACAGAAGTGGGCGATAATACTGGTCGCCAGCAGCGTGCCCCTCTGCAAGCAGATCAGATTGACATTGCGGACAGCAACAAACCGTGCACAATGTACAATTGCTGTTCATGTTGGGTCGTTTGTTTACCCCCCACCCCCGCCTCAAGAAGAAGAAGGTTCTAACCTTCCAAGGGGCCACTCCATCTTTTAAGGCCCCCTCTTTGATCCACGTAAAGTCATGCCTTCTGTGGCGTGCGCAACGCGTTGCCTGTCAGCCGACGATGCCCAACGGAATCTTTGCCGGCCACTCAGAAGTTTCCCCATAGTCCTACTACTAAACTACCCGGGCCTACCCAAACAGAACCACACGAGATACATGCCTTGTCATGGCAATTGCAAACAGCGCGCCCTCCTTGAAAAACAGCGAGGTGAGTCAAAAGGTTAACCGACCCATGTCGACTCCAATGCGCAAACCTACAAGAGGGTTCCTCTCTTGGCCGCCAACATCTCACTGTTTTGCAATGTGTTACTGCATGCTACGCTGTCCGAGATCTGCTAGGAGTTACGCTGAGGACCTGTGCGAATCGAAACTTTATTGCAATGCAGTCCTTCAAATGTGGACGGCAAACTGTACAGGCGTGCCAACCTTGATACCCTCCTCTCCCTCAATTCGCTCCCTCTCACGCGTGTTGCTAAACCCGGACGGGAAAGCATGGCCAGCATGCGAAAAGGACGGGAGTCGGGAGGGAGACGGAACAAATGGGGGTTGATCAACATTCCCTTCGGCCCCCAAATGACCATTGCTCACTTTTCCCATTTCGTGGTTGAGATATCGCATCTTTTGAGTGGTTTTCCAACCAATGGTCATCCCATGTAATCATCGGACCTTTTGATCAACCCCCAAATCGGCTCGAATTTTCATACATGACTGGTGGCGTCCACCGCCAAATAAGACACCTTCAGCAAACCTCGCTGCACCGCCACCCGCACCAAATTCCCAGTGCACTCGCGGACCTCCGGAAAGTCCAAGACCTAAAGGGGTCAAACGGGATCACCTTCAGCTGGTTACCGGTGAACAGTCATAAAAAACTTGGTAGCACTTACACACACACACATATATAGACATATACATTAGGACCTGCCTCTAACAAAAAACAACAACTTTTGATACCAATGTCATACTATCTTTATGCTAATTGCAGGCCAATTGGTTTACCACTGTTTATACCATGTTCATACCATTTTCATACTATTTTTATACTAATTCCATACCAATTGTTATACCAATGATCATGCCACTTTTATACTCATTTTTTACAAATGTCATACCAATTGTTGTACCAATGTTTGTACCATTGTTATACTGATTTTATACTAATGTCATGCCAACTTTATACCAACTTTATACCAATTGTATCCCAATGTCATACCAATTGTGTACTATAAGTGCCGATTTGAAGCAATATCTATACCAAACAAGTACCAATTGCAGACACATCTCCAGCCAACGGGCTCAGATTTCATACCAAGTTGGTATACATTTAAAATAAACATGTTATATGAAATTGGTATAAACTTGTGTAAAGTACTATGAATCTGGGGGTGCACAAATTGGTATAGATCTGACCGTGCCGTTGGGATTTGCTAAATTTATACCAATTTTTCGGGCCAGACGTTATACCAATTATATACCAATTGTATACCACATTTGCATGACATCTGAGCTGGGTTCCCTCCTCAACAAAAGCGGTCGGACTCCAATACTAGAAGTGGCGCACCCTGATTCTTGACCCCAGTGTTTAATCAAACTTTTCAGGTTCGCCACCACTTTGCCGCAAAAGAATGGTAGGCCCAAAATGCGTGGTAATTCTGCCCCCAAATTGGTATGAATTGGTAGTAACTCTGCACAAATTCGTCGTAAGTCTTCTCCCCAAATTGGTATAAATTTGCATAAATCGGCAGTGACCCTACTAACAAATTGTAGTAACTATGTCCACAATTGGTATGGAACAACAGCCCCAAGTACGCCCCCCTAGCACTCGTAAACATTGATAGAGGCAAGGCCTAACATATACATAGTGTGTGTGTATGCGTCAAGGAGTCAAGGCTCTTGCTCTGCGTGTTGGGCTGTGTCAACTTTGGGCCAACGCAAGTGACAGCGAGCATGACATGGCGCCGAGGAGCCAGGTCACCTTCAATGTCGCGAATCTCTTGGAAGGCCCCCTCCACTTCCTGCCCGAAGCTTTGCCCAAGTCTGACCCCATGGCGGACATGCGGACAAACAAACACATGGCCATTTGCGGGAACGACCAGCCGGCCAAATGTTTGGCAGCCACAAAAAGCTCTGTCCTGCTCAGTCCAGCAAAAGCCCAGGAGCTCCTGCACAGCATAGAGCGCCAGAATGTTTTCCTTCCGCTCCATGCCGGCCACCAGGAGCTTCCGGAGGAAGGTCACCTGCCGAAGGAAGCACGCACAGTGACTTGTGTCGCTGGAGCTGCTCTTTGGCCTAGCTGCCGAAGGAGCCAGGCAAGGTGAACCAGCCGATGATTGGCATGCTTCGTGGCAAAAATGACTTCACCACATAACTCAGTACCAATATCTATATATATATATATGTATATATAGATAAATACCTGCTTCCTGGCTTGGCCTTTACAGGCCAATTCCCTTCCTGTGCCGTCGCAAAACGCTAAATGACTTCAAGCTGAGTGCGCAAAGCGCCACCCCTTTTTCTGTGTGATTCTCAAAATGGCTGAAGAAACGGCACCGATTCGCCCCGATTCGCCTGCTCCTTGGATGAAAGGTGCAGCTCCTCCAAGACTTGGGCCAACTCTTCTGTGCTCCGGGAATCGAAATACTCCTCGCGCGGCGGGAGGGAAAAACAGCATGCACACGCAGCAGCCGCCAAGGGAGGGTTGAAGCCAAGCTTGGCTCACTGAAATTGACAAGCAACAGTCAGGAATCTCATGGTGCATCTTGCCCACGGTGGCTAATTCATGCAGGGAAGGCAGCATAGCACCTGCGGCTGATTGTTTCAAGGCGAATTGGCTACCTTCGCCGTTGCAAAATGCTGAACATCCCAAGACTAGATTCTGCCCTATCAGCACTTTGCAAGGACATCGCAAAGCTACACCGCCCCATTCATCTCTTAAAAAGGGGTCATGCGTCGCAGCCATTTAGATATGCAACAGCGAGACTGAAGGACAGAGACATGCTCTGCGTCATCTGTGTCATGCTTGCCTGTCCTCAATGGTGTCATGCATCTCTGCACGCATCTGGCGAATGTCCCCGTAGCCCCACACTCGCCTAGCACCAAGGTGCGACAACATCACTTCCCATGGCAAAACGCACTGCCCAAGCTCAAATGTAACATACCCCAACTCAGAACGAGGACTAGGCGCAAGTTTACGCTACGCGCTGAAGAAGCAAGCAAGATACACAGTCTGCGATAGCACGTGCCCATTCAGGAAAGTACTTGGCTGGTGCATGCTGGTGCTCAGTAAGCTCGTGCTTGCGTCCAGCAATTCAAAGCCTCATGCCTAGTCTGGGAGCTGACTGCGCTGATTTTAGTGCGCAGCTCCTCCCCCTTGCTTGATTGGAGCAGCTGCGTGCTCCGGGTCTTCTACACTTCCGGGGGGCCGCCAAAAAATCCGCGGGGCCGGACTCCGAAGGGTTGCTTTCGCAAAACCGGTCACATGTTGGACATTACTAGCCAAGCACTCTATATGCAATATTCACCCACTTTTAAAGGCTTACCCTCGAAATAGATCCCATGTTGGATATGCAGTCGCATTGAGTCGGCATTGAGTACACAAATGCCCAGTGGGCATGGGAAAAAAGGGCATCCATGTTTTTGGTTTGGTTGAGCTCAAAGAAAAACCCTTTCCCCCAAAGAAAAGGGGAAAAAGGACGGAATCCACTGGGCAACTGGGAGTGGCTCACCTTCCAGCCCCAAAAGGCTTCGCACCGCGCCTGGAGTGCAGGGGCGTCTGCCGCTGCGCCGCCCTTAGCGCCTGCCTGCCCAGGGGGCCACCGTAGCCCAGGCGCCGCGCCAACTTCAGGAACTGCGCGGCCAGCAGTTCCTGCGAGCCACCCCGGTTGACCCAGGATTAATAAACCCGTCCCATTTTTTTGGGGGGTGTTCCCTCCAAAAGTGATGAACCCCCACTAAAAGGGGACACCACCCTATTAATCAACCAGGGGTTTATTAATCCGGGGTTAACATTATAGATCAAACCACTAGGGGACCGCAGGTTTTAGTCCTTGGTTTCATTTATCAGGGCAACCTATTTCAATCCGAAATCAACCTCATGGCGATTGGCCAACTTTATGGCAATTTGGATAACTAAACCACCAGGAATTGGA